GTTTAATTTTCATGAAAACTATACAAGATTTTGTTGTTTCTTATGTACATATTTAAAGGGCAGATGATTACGCAACTTTTGTACTATAAAACATCAAGAAATATTAAGTAATCATGTATAAATATACTGTTTTGTAAGGGTCTTTATCAAAATCCCGACATTCAAAATGAAAATCTCGACAACCATAATCCCAACAGTAGCCATCTACTAAGCGCATTTCACGAGTTTCTAGCTTTGACACAAGGTGACAGCTGTCATTTCGCAACCAATAGGTTTAGAGTGACTGCTGTAGCCTATAGTACAATAACTATTTTTTCATATCAGGATAATTTTAATTACAAAACTTGGATGAAAATCATCTAAAAAAAGTAAAAGATTATTACATAACCGAACGATGGTAATTGCCCGTTTTAAAGATTAGCCCTCTTCCATCCTCTCCTGAATTCAAACAGTAATTAAAGATTAGAGAGACGATAGGATGTTTAATCTTGTAATCCCTTTTCTAAATCAAGATCCGGCAACGCGAAAATCTCAATTTTTTTTTCAGTATTAATTAATCAACAACGAAAAAGTATAGAGTAATGTACAAGGTGAGTGTTGATTGATTCGAATATCGGATTAAGTATGCGGTTGCGTGTCCTGATTATACGTTGCCTTTCTTTACAGAATTTGCTGGTATTTTCCCTGGAAGAAAATCGCGGTCACCGGATTCCCAGAATTTTCCACTTTCCGCGCCACTTAATTCGCTTTCGCACATTAACATAAATTAATTTAAGGTACGATTATTTACCTCGCCGACTTCCGGTTTCCGTTTCTTTTGTGCTCGCTCCGTAATCAGACGTTTGTTAGAACTATTTCAATGGACTAAATTTCTTTTCTATTTCATGTTTTTTGGGGACATTTAATGAAAAATTGAATGCAAAAAAAATAGATTAATTCAATTTCTATAAAAAAAATTTGTTTTCCATAATAAAGCGTGTATACGTGCCCAATTTATTAGTTTATTTTCATGAAAACTATACAAAATTTTGATATTTTCTTATGTACATATTTAAAGGACAGATGATTACGTAACTTTTGTTGAAAAGTTAAGTAATCATCATTGTCATGAAAAGTATAGAAGATTTTGTTTGTTTTTTATGTACATAAATGAACGACAAATCTTTACGCAACTATTGCTATAGAAAACATCATGAAATATTAAGTAATCATCATGTTATGAGAACTTTTCTATTATTTTACGTTTTTAGTTCATTTTCATGAAAAGTGTAAAGGATTTAATATGTTTTTATGCACATATTTAAAAGGCAGACGATTATGCAACTATTGCTATAGAAAACTTCATGAAATGTTAAGTAATCTTATTATGAGAACTTCTCGGTTTTGTTACGCTTTTCTTTAATTTTCATGAAAAAAGTACAAAATGTTTGTTGTTTTTATGTACATATTTAAAGTGTAGATGATTACGCAACTATTGCTATAGAAAACACCATGAAATGTGAAACAATCATCATGTTGTAGAAACTTTTCGGTTATTTTACGTTTTTTGTTAATTTTCATGAATACTATACAATATTTCGTTATTTTTATGTACATATTGAAAGGGAAAATGATTACGCAACTTTTACTATAAAAAACATCATGAGATGTTAAGTAATCATCATTTTATGAGAACTTTTCCCTTATTGTAAGTTTTTGTTTATTTTGATGAAAACTATACACATTTTTGTTGTTTTTTATACACATATTTAAAATGCAGAAGATTACGCAACTTTTATTCTATAAAACATCATGAAATGTTAAGTAATCACCATATTATGAGAACTTCTCGATTTTGATACGTATTTGTTTAATTTTCATGAAAACAAGCACAAAATTTTGTTGTCTTTATGTACATATTTAAAGTGCAGATGATTACGCAACTATTGCTATAGAAAACACCAATAAATGTGAAATAATCATCATGTTATAGAAACTTTTCGGTCATTTTACGTTTTTTGTTTATTTTCATGGAAACCATACAAGATTTTGTTATTTTTATGAATATAGGCAGATCATTACTCAACTATTGCTATAGAAAACATCATGAAATATTAAGTATCATGTTATGAGAACTTTTCGGTTATTTGACCTTTTTTGGTTTATTTTCATGAAAAGTATACAAGATTTTGTTGTTTTGTTGTTAAAGGACAGATGATTATGTAACTTTTGTTGAAATGTTAATAAGTATCATTACGCAACTATTGCTATAGAAAACATCATGAAATGTTAAGTAATCATCATATTATGGAAACTTTTCGGTTATTTGACGTTTTTTGTTTATTTTCATGAAAACTATTAAACTTTTTATATCGTTTGTATCTTTTCAATTTTTGTTTTTTTTTTATATATATAGAAAAAGATATTGACCAGTTATTTGTATCAAACTGTGAAAACTTATTGTTCCGATATCGAATTAAAAAATCCGATGACAATATTTATGGAAGAGCCGTTTATTCGATCCGCAATTTATATTGAAATATCGAGAGAGAGAGAGGATAAAAAAAACGTATCTAATTTATGCTGCGCCAATCAATCATTCGGTATTCCACCTTTCACCCTCAATATGTAACGAATGTTATGAACGGGGATGGAGATGAAATGGCAGAAGACTTCCTGTTTTCGGTATGTCGTGGATCGAGGGGGGGGAAGAGGATTGGATTTGAGTTGAGGCTGGAGGTGGACGAAAGTTTTGGCAGGACGAGACAGTTAATTGCAGGGACGTGTCAGACGTGATCTGCATGCATCCAGAGGACCGGAAAGCGGCGCGGGGACCCCGAGCCCTTGTGTTCCACGCAAACTAAGCTATTTACAGATCCGAAACTTAGCCGACTGGAACTGATGTCGTTTTAGTCATTTGCCTGGCAATCAAGAATGCCCTCCTCTTCCTCCACCTCCCAACACGAATCGCTGATGCGTTAACAAACACAAAACACCATTCAAATTATCGCACTCCGCATCGGAAATCCATCCATCCCTCCATCCGAAACATACACAACTATTGCATCTCCTCCTTCGTCTGCACACTACACCTACATACAACTATATACATCATTTACATAATGTTATTGTGCAAGTTTTAATTAGACCCCCTAATTAAAGTTCACGCCAACTGAGCTATAGGTGTGACCCATAAACAGAGGTGTTTCCGAAGCTCCTTGCGAAGTTAACAACTTCCGCAGCTGCTTCCGTCGCCTGGGATTCATTCGTACATAAAGATGTTCGATGCAAATGTGAGTTACGATCGTCATCTCACCATTATAAATAAACATATGAAAGCTACATCAACGGGGCCGTCGCGTTTTAAGCATCTCGAGTAAACCTCTTGTTATGTATAACCGTTATTGTTTATATTATGTTAGCCCTTATTATTTTATACATGTTTATTTATGTAAGTCATTAAGACTTAGAACAAATACCACTTAGGGAAATCCCATAACTAATCATTGTGTAATGACTATTCTTAATCACCCTGTTGTAAACAAACTCGAAGGTCCAATCTATAGTGACCTTAAATATGTACATCTGCCTAATGACTTACAAATTAGGGAAAGCTAGGAACTATCTTTTCCTTCCAAATATTGTACTCCCACTATGTTAATTCCCTACTATAAAATAGGATGTTTATGTCATACAAAGTCAGTCTGGAGAAAAGTCAAAGAGTCTGAAGTCAGGCTGAGGGTAAGTCTTACCTAAGGGGCCGAATGGAGAAGTTGGTCTTACTTGGAGAGTCCAAGGAAGAGCACTTACTTCGTAAACACTAACTTAAGAGCAGAATGTAACTCTTAGTTAATAATACATGAGATCAACTATTGTTTAGTTTAGTCTCAATAAAACTCCGATGTATACAATAAAACTAAATTAAGAATATTGTATTTAATATTCATAAAACCCTCCAAGACTCCGCAACGACATAACTACGAGATAATCCACGGTGTCCAAGGATTTCTTAACCCTGGGACACGACACTCTAATAGAATGTAAACATAGTAAATATAAATGTAATTGTGCATAATCGAGTCATCATCTTCCTCGCAGGATAAACATCTTCATTTATACTTAACGACGGAGCTGAACTTGAGTAGTCTGGCGCTCTTCACTTTATTAGAACACTTGACTCTGGAAGACACTGCATTTTCGAAGTGTTTCATTGCTTAACTTTCAAAGTTTATAGCAGAAAATCGTCAACTATCATTTTTAATTTCTTTATTTTTTAAATATTTTGAGCCTTATTTAATTACACAAATTTATAATGTTATTGCAAGAAAACGACCTATAAACCTAGCAGTAGGCCCGTTGGAAAGACAATTCTTTTGTCTTCAATTTTCATATTTGATATTGTAATTAAGTTTACTTAGTTATCGAATAATTAAATTAAACGTGAAACAATTTTTTAATAACACTTATATCAAAAGATCTGCACCACCATCTGATATCATCATTAATTATTTAAAGTTCTACACTTTTCTAAGTATTATGGAAAATTTAAATTAAGTATAAAGAAGAAAACGCAAGAATTTTAAACTTTCAAAAAAAGTTGTTTTAATGGTAAGCAACCAAATACACTCAAGTGTATACAAAGAAAACTAAATTTTAAAAATCTTGTTGAACTTTGAAATATTTTTGTAAGAAAACGCGAATTGCTATATAGTAGGCAGTAGGCTGGTTGGAAAGGTCAATTTAATTGATGTGCGTGGATATTGTGTAATTAAATAAAATGTGAAACTCTAAAAATATTGTTTTTTTTTTTCGTATCTTCGTTATTCATTAACATTAAATATCAGTAATTATACCAAAAATTGTGCAATATAATCGTTTCTTATGTAATGATAACATTTATTAAAGATTTTGAAGTAAATCTATAAAATAAAGAATTAATAAATTTGAATTATTTGAAAACAACATTGTGTATGTTTGAAATAATACGAATATTGATTAATATAATATTTATTTTAATAAAATCACAGTTGGAAATTGCTCTTCGCGGATTCTAAATCCTTGATGAGAAGATCGACGTACTCCAAATTCATCTCGAAATTGATGTTGTTCTCCTTCTTGTCCTTGTCGGTGCAACGCAGATCCACCTGAAGAAGTGGTTCACTGAAACAAGGCACCTGAGAGCTTCCAATCATCCATTTCAACTTCCAATCGATGTTCTCCACCAAAGGTTGTCCCATCGCCAGGTACCTTTCCTTGGCTACAGACTGACAAATCTCCTCCTTTCGAATCGCAAAACACTCTTTGATTACTTTAACATCGCTTTCGCTCAAATCGGAGATATTTGGAAAGGATTCTTCGTCGACGATCATTTGTTTATAAACATTTTGAATTAGGCTTCGCGCCTTCTGAGCTTCGCCCGGTGTCCACTCGAGGTCACCACCGTACGGAGCAGAACTGGTTTGTTTACGTCCTATCATGTCATCGATGGATTCATGTATAAACTACAGAAAAACAAAGCGTTAATTACACTTAAACTGCAGACTAATCAATGGAAATCATAAGTAATTAACCCTTACCCTTTGCAAACAATTGGAATTCGATAATTTCAACAAACTTTTACCGTCCACCATCGCCATATTACACCAAAACCGCTGCTCGTTACCCACTGTTCTTTCCTTAGGTTGGCGGCATTTGCGAAGCCTTTCCGTCAAATATAAGCGTCAGGATAATATCTGATAATAATCTTATATCCTTAAATGTATTTGTGATTTCTTTCTTTGTTTGTGTTTTAATTGAGTGAAATCAAGGATGGCAGAATATTTAGCTGCCATTTTCGGCACAGAAAAGGATAAGTGAGTATTTCAGTCTCAAAGAAACGAACTTCGTCGTTTTTGCATTTGTAGGTTAGTTGCTAACATGTAATTTGTATTTCAGAGTAAATTGTTCGTTTTACTTTAAAATTGGCGCCTGTCGACATGGAGACAGATGCTCCAGAATCCACAACAAACCCACCTTCTCTCAGACATGCTTATTGCAGAATTTATATGTGAACCCACAGAACTCAGCCAAGTCTGCCGATGGTAGCCATCGTAAGTCCACATCTAACAAACAAAGCTCTTCGGTTGCTTTATAATAAACTATTTTTTAGTGGTCGCAAATGTTTCTGATGAAGAAATGCAAGAACATTATGATAACTTTTTCGAGGACGTCTTTGTGGAGTGTGAAGATAAATATGGTGAAATTGAGGAGATGAATGTATGTGACAATCTTGGAGACCACCTAGTTGGCAATGTTTACATTAAGGTAATGCTTCTTTAATTAACTATTTAAGTAATAATTGCTTTTGTTTACATATTAAAATCTATTTTTTGTCTTCAGTTTCGACGTGAGGAAGATGCAGAAAGGGCAGTAACTGATTTAAATAATAGATGGTTTGGTGGTCGTCCAGTTTACGCCGAATTGAGCCCAGTCACGGATTTCCGTGAAGCTTGCTGTCGCCAGTACGAAATGGGAGAATGCACTCGATCTGGTTTTTGCAACTTCATGCATTTGAAGCCCATTTCTAGAGAACTCAGGAGGTAATTATACTTTGATCCCTCAAGTCTATCAATGCTGATAGTAACTGTTATATTTAATATCTAATGATTGTTGTATTTGTAGATACTTATATTCGAGGAGGAAAGCCGGTCGTAGGCGTTCCAGATCCCGTTCACCGAGAAGACGTTCTCGCTCCAGGGAAAACAGAAGAGGAGGTTCCCGTTCACCGCGCCATCGGGCAGGAAGAAGTGGAAGATATTGAGGAGTGGAGTCATGTAAGGAAGTTGAGGTGGAGAGAAGCGCGATTCATATTCATTTCCAGTTTTTAAGAAAGTGCTGACAAATTGATTTTCATTTTGATAACTATACAAACGGATGACCTGCGTTGAAGATATTTGTGTTTCTTTCATTATTATATTATATATCATACGTTCGTTTATTTCATTATCTTATTATTTGTTTTCAGTTAAATTCACTCGAAACAACTTTGTAATTAGCTTTATTAAGATGCAAACAGGGATATTGGGAAATAAATCTGTTTCCGCGTAAAGAAAAAAAAATGTTTTATACGATTGAAAGTAATATTAAGATTTCGCATGAATGTGTATCTAATGATTTTAGTAATGTATTCATAAGCACAACTAGTTTGAGTACAATGAGTTTCATTGAATAAAGAAACATCGTAAACTGAGATGGTTTTCAGCTGGACTTTAATAATTCTACTCTTCTGCAAAAGTTTCGTTTCCTTTGTGCAAGAGGCTACAATATTTATATACATACATTTATATTAATTGCAGCCGTAACAGCCCACTCCTATTCAACACATTCCAGAGATAATTTAGTATAGTTTATTATGTAAAGATTTAGAAAAATGAGTAGCCTTATGTTCTCCAAACAATAGGAAATAAAAGCTATTGTATGTCTTCTTAGCCGTCGGCGTTGAAATATATCAGAGAGTTCATTGCTTCCATCCAAAGGAAATTCTGCACATCTTGCAACTTTTTCCAGGTGCCACGAGTATTAGTCAATAAACTAATAGTATAGTTTTTGAGTTAATTAATCTTTGTTATTTTAGCATTATAAACTTAACGTTACTAAATGAGTTTTCTTTACTCTAGGAATGTGATGTAATTATCTTGAGTGGTTGACGAGTAGAAACTAAAGGCTGTAACCCTTCTTACGAAATCTTTTTCAAGTTATTTAGAAAAAACGCTTAAAAATTAAAGCGCAACGTTGGAAATGTGAGGTATTCAGCTTTATATTGTATGGTCGATGATGTAATTATCTTGAAGGTTTCTCGTGAAATTCACGAAAATCTGAAATTGTAGATCAAGATTCATGTTCAAAAATCTTCTAGGAGCAAGTGCATACGAAATTACAAGACATTTTCGAAGACGGTGCTTTCCATGCTATTAAATACCAAACTTTGATAATTAATTGTGACGAGGCTATGGCAAGTTATAAACATGCTCATTTTAATTTATGTATATTTTAAAATTACATTCAAAATTCTTCTGGGAGCATTTTGTTATGAAAATACATTATCCAAGACGTTGTTTTCCACACAGTCAAATACCAAAGTTTGATAATTAATTGTGATGAAGCTATGGTATAAACATGTTTTTATGCTCATTTTAATCTCTGTATATTCAAGATCAACATTCATGTTCAACGTTCTTCTAGAAGCATATGTCTACGAAAATACAGGTCATTTTTGAAAACGTTGTTTTCCAAACTGTCTAATACCAAAGTTTGATAATGAATTGTGATGAAGCTATGGTAGCTGCAAAGATGTATTTAGGCTCATTTTAATCTCTGTAAATTCTAGATGAATATGTTATATTCTTCTTGGAGTGGGTTTTCATGAAAATACAGTTCATTGTCCAAGACGATATCCTACTTTTTAATCATAGTTTATATGTGTGTTTGGTTGCCTGTACTTTAGGCGCAAAATGAATGTTTGTTTTTAGTGATAGCTAGTGCCATCTGTTAGCAACACAGCAAATGTTATAGTTCGGGCAATTTGGCGCTGCATAAAATCCATTTCCTTGCACGCCTAAAGTGCAAGCAACCGAACATACATATACACTTTGATGAACGTATAGGAAAACAACGTCTTAGATAATGGCCTGAATTTTCGTAAACATGAGCTCCCAGAAGAATGTTATATATGGATGTTAATCTTGAATATACACGGATTAAAATGAACGCTAATATTAATTTGCAGCTGCAATGGTGCCTTCATAATTGATTAACAAACTTTGGTATTTCACAAATAAGTTGGAAAAATAACATTTTCTAATATGACCTGTATTTTCTTATATATCAACTCTAAGAAGGATTATTTATATTAATGTTGATCTTTAATATACAGAGAACAAACTGAGTGTAAATACAAGTTTGTGGCTACCATAGCTTCATCACAATTAAATATCAAACTTTGTTGATGTTTTCCACACTGTCAAATACACAGTGTGGAAAACAACGTCTTGGATAATGAACTGTATTTTCAAAACAAAATGCTCCCAGAAGAATTTTGAATATTATTGTTGAACTAGAATATAAAAAGATTAAAATTAGCATAAATACATGTTTATAGCTAACATAGCTTCGTCACAATTAATTATCAAACTTTAGTATTAGATAGTTTAGAAAACAACGATTTATAAAATGGCCTGTATTTTTGTAAACACTTGCTTCTAGAAAAATGTTGAATATGAATGTTGATGTAAAATATAGAGATTGAAAAAATAAAGATTGATAGTTATATAATACTTTTAGTGTCTTTCTGAGGATTTGATGAAAATTATCATTTTAGTTCTTCTAGCATTTTCAATGCTAGATGCATTCAGAAATGTTATCCAGTCTCTGAAGATCATGTACAAAGCAACAATAAAATCATGGGTGCTACAGGGTTCATAGTTGCTATCCATCTCTGTAATGAAGTAATATTTTTGGTCATATTCAGCAGTTAAGGTTTCCACTATTTACAAATGAAAATTGCTAGTAAAGGATTATTTCCAATTTCTGGAGAAGGTCATCAACTATACATTAGAGGCATGTTGCTATCAGCTCCACCTAAAATAATAACAATTGTACCAATGATTGTTTACAAGTTGACTGTTTTCCTTTTGTCTATTAATGATTAAAGCACATTCTTATATGAAGACACTGATTCAGTATGTTTGTTGTAAAAAGATTTTAAGAATTGTCCCTAGTTAGCTGCAGTTTCTGTTGTATCTTTTCTAAAGACAAAGAACATTAGTGATCGATGGTTGTTTACATGTTCCACTGGAACTTGTCAGAAGTTTAGAGAAAGGTTTTCCATACAAGGAAATAGAAGAAGGAAGTAATGGAGCATATTGTTCATTCATGTTGCATTCGAAACAATGTAGAATAAACAGAAATAAAGACCTTTAAATTTAACTTCTGACTATAAAAACTGTCACTCTGACAGTTCACTCACTCACACAAATGTAAATTTAAAAATTTCAAATTACAACCAATTAGGAACGACCGATGCCAGGAGCTCAGATACCTACTCGCTACTCATGGTCTCCTGGTACAAATCGAAAATTTCTGGCATTTTCGTGAATCAAGGTGGGGGGGACTTGCGTTTTGATTCGCAAATACCGCCAACTCATTAAAGCTTAATAACTTTCTTATTAATTGACTAAAACGAATACATTTTATAGCAAACGAAGGCAAAACAATTATTCTTTAAAACAGTAAGTTAAAATTTTCTGATATATATGAATATAATCACTTATTTAACTATTTTTTCAATTTTATGCAACACCTTCACGTTTTTTAAATTAATCGATTACCACAAGTACTAATTAGACCATCAAAAAAGCAAATTAAAGATAAAACTATAACCTTTTCAATGAGCTAACTGCGCGCATTGTGTTTTGATCAGTACATCTACTACAAGTACTTGAAAATCAAGTATTTTAATTCAATTCTCAATCCAAATGCTAAATTACCTAATGAAAAATATATTATGAGAAAGGTGCCATTCTCATAAATAATTACAAAACTGCAAAAAATTTGATAAAAATAAAACAAATAATATGGTTTACCATTAACTTTATTTATTTAATTATATGTTAAATAAATAACACACAAACATCATAGCTCCATCCTCTTTGGGTCAATAATCAAGAGCTATGTAATTGATAATATATGCTGTACAAATATGAACACAAACAATCAGATATAATAATCAAATATACTCTTTTTTTAAAGTTTAACAACTAATTTCATAATTTCCATGTTTCTTCTGCGTTTCTCTCTGCTTTCTTCATTAAATAACATTCACAATTTTTCAACGATCTCGGGTTACTTGCTTATTTGTTCTTCTTCTTCTTCTTATAAATCTTATTCGCTTTTTCCCAATTTCTACAGCTCGTAGCAGACGACAGCATAAAGATGCAAATAGTTTCGTTGTAAAGGTGAGGTATTCAGCTTTAAATTGCGCGATCGATGATGTAATTATCTTAAAGGGTTTGTCGTAAAATTCACCAAAATCTTAACTTTTGTTTCGCATGGGTGACGCCCATCATACGCAATCATGAAACGCAACAAAAGTTACGTAATTTTCGTGCAATTCAGAAAAAAAAAACAAGTTAAAATGAAAATCTCTTCGTAACGTTTGTTACAATACGTCAATCTCTTTATGCAGAAGTAAACCAGTGTACGTGTATGAGAAGTCACGTTCAAATGATTCTTTAGATATGCAAATCGCGGAAACCAATCCATCTCGAGTCGTAGATATAGGATTGGTTGCTACAGCAACTGCATTCAATCTGTCAGTTATTATTAGATATAAATTATATTATTGAATTGCCTCTCTGCACAATGAATAGAATCGAATTAATTTATGGAAAGTCATCGATAAAACACGTTCATAATAATAATAATAAAGAGAGGTGTGTGTGTATTGCTCAGGTTCGTGGAGAGCAGAACTTTTACGACTAGTTTCCGAGTGCGTAGAAAGGATAAGAACCGTAAATGGGAAGAGAGAAAAGGTGAGACAGGAAAAACATAAATAAATAAACAAATCCATGTCATAGGAAACACCCTAGGTATATTATATATATATTCATATTTTTATAAACACATTCACACGTACATATATTGTATTTATCTAATAATAATAATAAGACACAGCCGTTTTGATAAGTCGGTAGAGTAAAAAGTGCGCGAAATATCAAAGAGCTGTGTTTTTTTTTGTTGTTGTTTCTTTGTTTCGTTTATAATAATAATTATATTCATCGTATCAATTAGTAATTGTATTCATTTTTTTTTTGTTATCCATTCATTATGCATAATTATTTTAATATTTAGATTTTTTTTTTTGAGTAAAATGCAGAGGGAATATAGCTTCGATCCGTTTACAGAGGCACAAAAATCAAATATATCAAAAAAAAAAAAACAAACGAAAATCAATTATTTTGTTTTCTTTTGTTTTTTTTTTGTTGCAAGAGCGAAACAAAATCGAAATCCAGAGTTATAGATTTCTCTCTCTCCATCTGCTTAAGAACTAGACTAACATATTAAAATTTCGAATAATACCAAAAAAACAGGTAGTCAAAACAAATTTTTCTTCCAATTCAATTTCAATCATTATTACTTTTTTACTTATATATATATTTGTTTATATATAAATTAATATTACGTTTACATTAGTTTATATTTAATTAATTACCGCCTAGAGTATTTTCACCGAATTCATTATCTTTTTCTCAATAAAAATTTCGTTGTTAAAAAATGTACAAAAAGAAAGAGTTACAGAAAAAGAGAACGCCCGACACAAAATACGCAAAGATTTTCTTTTGTTTTTTATATATTTATATATATATATATGTAATATTTATATAAAATGTGAAAACCAACTATACAGAAATTCTCCAAAAAAATTAAATTAAAACAAAAGAAAAACACTTGCTTATCATAATTATTATGTAAAAAGTACATTTGGAAAAAAAAAAACACACATAAGAAAAAGAGAAAATAAGCACACGTATTGTTACACTATTCTTTCAATTTATTGATCTAAAATAGTAAAAAATAATAGTAATAGTAGTAGTAAAAGAGCGGGTTTTGGGGGGTTGTTGTTGTTGTTAAGTTAGATGCAGCTGATTGAAATCTAACTCTCTTCCATTTGTTGTTGTTGTTTTTTTTATATATATATATAATATATAATAATAATAATATAAAATAAAGAAAAAAACTATTATTATTATCATCAGAAGACAAAAAAAAAACTAAACTCACTATACAATTGTAAATTATACATAGAAAAAAAAAAAAACACCATCAGCTGTCTCACTTAAGTTATATATAAAAAAAAAGAAAGTACACAAATTCGGAACAGAAAATTAAAAACGAACATAGTTTTAAAAAAAACAGTAATTACTTAAACAAAACGAAGAGAAAAAAAAACAAAGCTTATATATCAGTGTTTTGTGTGGGAGGATTATCAATATAAAAAAAAAACAAGAAGGAAAACACTAAATCTAAACGAAAAATAAAATATAAAAGCAAAAATCTAAAATATATATATATAAATTCTTCGTTCCATTCTTCTTCTTTTTCTCATCTTCTTCTTCTTTACAAAAAGCAGTACAAAAAGGACTATTTTTTTACGAAAATATCTCTCGTTTTCTGATTCATTATTATTAAGGGTTTTTGTTGATAACTCTTTTTCTTTTCTTTTCTTTTCTTTTAATGATGTGTGTGATGATGGGATTTCTTTACGAATTAATCCATCCAGTTTTTTATTGAATGAAGCTCTAAATATACTAAAATCGCTAAACACTATTTTTTACAATTGTATATGCTTATGATTTTTAATGTTTTAAATTGAACGTCGTTTATGTCACGTTTATGAAATCGAATCTCCACGAAACGTTCTTTCTTTTCTTTCCATTCATGAAGACGTTTTCATCGAGAGTATTTAATTTATTTAATAAAAATTTAAAAAAAAAAAACAAAGAACGTTTCGTTCGAAAATTTTGCGCGCGTGCGAAGTGGATCTACAAAACTTCTCCTCCGATCGTTACTTTTAACTCTTCACAATTTCAAAATTTTTTTTTTTTTTCCGTAAATATAAATAGTCTAATTAGATTGGCAGTTTGTTGGTTTTTCTTTTGGTCGAACAACGGTCACTGCCCAAGGAATGATCCGCTTTTTGTTATACTTCTTTTTTCATCAATATAATATATAATTTTTTTGCAGTATTTTTTTTTGGTTTAACACATTAAAAAAAAAAGAGTTCCCATTATATAATATAAACAATTCAAAAAAAAAAGTTGGGGGGGTGGCGGGGTTGTCGCGGTTCGTGTGCTGAACTTACTCCTCGACGGTGGCGGCGGCTGCAGCTGCGGGCGCTTCCTGCAGAAAACGAAACAATAACGAATGTTAGTGATTGCTGAAAGTTTCCGTGTAACAATAGAAGTACGTACCACAACTTCGGCCGTCTTGTCTCCATCATCTCTCCTTTCCTCGAGGGTTGCGGCAACAACCTGAAATTGGGACATTTTCAAAAATCAGTGGATGCGTCGACAACAAATTTCGATTGGAAAAAAAAAATAGTAACAATAATATTATGTAAACCTATAAAAGGGTAGATATTAAGAAATAATAAGTAAAGCTACGTTGGGTTTGGATTAAAAAACGGGGGGGGGTCGGGTTGGAGGGTTTTTTGGGGTCGTTTGGATGTGGATAAAGTGTGCCAACACACTCGCTTTTTCGGTCACAGAATGTATAGATGCGTTTTTTTTTTTAGTAAAGTAGAGTAGTAAAGATAAGAAGATTAGTGTTCGAGAGAACGTGTTAGATTTCAAAAGACTCTGAAAACATGTACACACAGCATTGTTGTTAGCACAAATTCCGCTCAATCCGGAACAAACGAGAAAACCATAAACAAAAACAAACAAAAAATAAGAGAAGAGAGAGAGTGAGAAAGAGAGACAACGCCTACTGATTTCTTCGAGTTGTATGTACACGCACACATCAGCAGAGGTTTCCCCCCCAATAAGATTTAAAACATACAAATAAGAAAGACGAAACAAAAAAAAAAGGATTATATGAATATATTGTATATAATATATTATGTTAATGCAATAGACTCTCCGTTACGTTTTGCACTATTCACCTGTTTCAGAGGTCCATCAATGGATTGTGGTGGCTTCGCGTCACCATTTTCAACGGGCGAAGGCAGTCCATTCGCGTTCCCATTGGTGAGAACGACGGCTTCGCCGGGGATGGGAATATCTGTAACGGTTTTTGGGGCCTCGGGAGCGACGATCGCCTCGGGTGCGATTGGCTCGGGGGCGGCGTCGATTGGGGGCAGGGACATTGGTTCCGGCAAGCTATCCGTGGATGGTTGCTCGGGAAGGGAAGGAAGTGAAGATTCGGTGGAGATGTCCGGCAGGGAATCGGCGGCATTGATGACCACGGGGGTGATAGTTTCGGAACTGAGGGGGGACGACACCGGCTCTGGAAGAGATGTAGGCTGAACCGCCTCCGCCACAGCCGCTGCAGCGTCCAACTGAGCTTCTGGAATTGCCTCAGTTTCATTCGATTTCTTAGCTTCTTCTTCGACCACCTTCTTTTCTGGTTCCGCCTCTTTCACGGCTTCAGGTTGCTTGGTTTCGACTTCAGGAATTTGCGTTTCAGTTTCTTCTACAGCCTTAGGAGATGTCTCTGGCTCTTTCACCGTTTCTGGTTCTGGCACAGACTCTGCTACCGCTGGAGCCTTCTCTGGTTGAGGAACTGTTTCGACCGCTTGAGATTCGGGTGCTTTTTCTGCTTGCTTTTCAGGAGATTCAGATGCTTGTTCGGGAATCTTTTCTGGAGATTCCGGTGCCTTCTCCGGAGATTCCGGTGCTTTCTCTGATGGCTTTTCAGGAGATTCTGTTACTTTCTCTGCTGGCTTTTCAGGAGAATCTGGTACTTTCTCCGCTGGCTTTTCAGGAAATTCAGGAGCTTTCTCTGCTGGCTTTTCCGGAGATTCAAGTGCTTTCTCTGGGAGTTTTTCTAGATCTTCAGCTGCTTTCTCTGCAGGTTTTTTCGGTTCCGATTCTGGAGCTTTCTCAGACGTTTCTGGGGCCTTCTCAGGAATCGTTTCCACGACCTTTTCGATTTCTGGAAGCTTCTCAGCGGACTCTGCGATCTTCTCGGGTTCTGGAAGCTTTTCAGCGGATTCTGGAGCCTTCTCTGGTTCCGCAATCTTCTCCGGTTCAGGAAGCTTTTCGGTAGACTCTGAGGCCTTCTCTGGTTCTGGAGCCTTCACAGGTTCCTCCTGCTTGGCGACCTCGAGGTCGGAAGTGGTGGTGGTGGCGGCTTCAGCAGCGGGTTTAGGTGGTTCAGCTAAAGTCGGGGCGGCCTGAGCGGAAACGATAACTTCCGGCTCGGCGGGGGCGGGCTGTGACTCAGCGACGGGGGCGGCGGCGACTGCCTCTGAGGGCGTGGGTTGTTGTTGTTGCTGCTGCTCAGAGACAGTTTCCGTCGGCGCGGATGGAAGTTGACCCACTGGGACCGCATCTGCTTTGGTCGACTCAGCGAAAACCGTCACCGGGGAAGGAGGGTTAGAGGAAGGTAATGGAGGAGGGACTTCCTCGGTACGCACCTCTTTGGCCGTCTCCTCGACCACGGGTTCAACGGGTTTAGGTTCCTCAGTGGTTGTGGGAGCTTGGGGTTGTTCTTCTTCGACTACTTTCGGAGGTTCCTCCACTTTAGGTTCTTCCTTTTCTTCGGCAGCTGCCGGTGCAGCGGGGGCTGGAGCCGCCGCCTCCTCTTGCTTAGCTTCTTCAGCTGGCGCTGCTTCCGCGACTGGGGTGGCTGCTGCTGCTGGCTTCTCAGGCTCGACGGCCTTTACCTCTTCGGTTGTGGCCTCACCGTTGGTCACTGCCGCTGGCTTCTCTTCGGCCTCGACTACTGGGGTGGTGGTCTTCTCACCCTCGGCCTTTGGGCTCTCAACAGTTGGGGAAGTGGCTTCGGCTCCCTGCAAAGAAAACAAGACAAGATTTAATGATTGCACTCGAAACAGAAACGTTCCATTTAATAAGCTCGGCATTAATAATAAAATTGCAGACTCGTCCAAGGATGCAGCATTTATGTATAATATATATATATATATGCATACATGTGTGAGGAGGAGCAGAGCAACGTTTATTAAGAGCGTGCGGATAAGGTCAGCAAACTGGTATATATTATATGATTCAATTGGTGCATACAAAGGAAGCAATTATTCAGACGCTGCTGAACTGAAACCAAGTCATTTCAGACACAGAGGATAGAGACAAGTCTCAATAGCGAGTAGCAGACTGTAAAATAAAAAGGGTGTACACAAACTATTCGCGAGTCGAGAGTGCACACAATGGTCTATTTACTATATAACGACAGCGGCGACGAGGAGTGCATTGACATCCAACATCCTAATCGAATGAAATGCAAAACGAGAAGAGCGAACGTATTTATAGAATTGGCATTAGCGGCGGTGAATTCGGAATTTGTCGTACACCGAGGAGGTAAAAGGAAATCTTCTATTTGCAGACCTTATTGAAGAATTAATGAGCTCTCCTAGGTTGAAGAGAGAGGTGGAGGGCCATTCTAGAAATACCTGCCACTTTGGCCAGAGGAAAAGAGAAAGAGCCGCGACGATACACGCACACAAGTTCACGGTCTATTTTCATCAAAAGGCAATGTCGCGACTGCTCTCTTCCCATTCCTCTTTCTAACGGATATCTAATTATATAATTGACTCTAAATTTAACACCAGAGTAACATCCCCTGATGAAACCAAAAATAATTTCACACTCTAATACAATACATATTTCAACATATTTTTTCAGACAAATAAAACTTTTTTTTAATAGTTTTCAACTTTAATACAATTGATATATGTGTATATTTATAGAAATTAATATTTCCAAAAAATCAAATAAAAATAAAATTCATACCTTTGTGAAGCAAGTTTTTGTCTGAAAAGATATTTGGTTAAGAAAACGAAAATTGAATGTATTAACAATTTCCTTTTAAAGAAATATACAAATATTAATTAATTAATTTCAAGCAAAACAAACAAAATAAATTGAATCCAAATGATTACATAAAGCGGAGTTAATGGATTAATACTAAAAATAAACAAAATTAAACACTATGGTTAGTGGTAAAAAAAAAGATTAATACTAAAACAAAATAAATTAATAAAAATAAAAATAATAAAAAAAAATGTATTTGGCATCGGCGATAATTTCAATGTTTTAAAATTTCGCAAATTCAAAAAAAAAATAATAATTAAAAAATTTCCAAAAAAAAAAAAAATTAAAACCGAAATTAAAGATTATTGTGAAAACAAAATTTGGCTAATTAATTTTTTGTTGTTGTATATTTATATAATTTTTTGTTTAGAAACACTGAAGAAACAAATGAACTACCCTCTGGTGAGCCTTCTTTCCGAATAAGTAAGTCACTAAAAATTTGACTCCGGACGCGATCAACACAGAAAAACACATAAAAATGATGATGGATGAAGTGACACCGAGCCAATCGTGATTTTGAGTTACCTGGCTTTCCATCTTTTTTCGGTTTTTACTACTTTTAGAACTGTTTATGTTTATCGAGAAAATATTTTTGAGATTTCGAACGAGACGGCGAGTCGAGTCGAGCGGAGCGGACTTTCGGCGTGTGCGGCGAGAAGAGCTTTTGAATGTGGGGCTCTTGTCTGAGAACTGGTGAAGAGATGATGATATGTGCAGCAAATACTGCTACAACCACATCAAACTTGGAAACAACCGAGAGTGAGGTGAGAGAGCTTGAGCTGAATGCACAGAGCGTTTTGGGGAGGAGAGATACTCTGCTGCTGTTGCTGCTGCTGCTTGCTGTCTGTGACTACTACAACTCTGGTGAGAGAGTGGAGGAGTTTTGGTGGAGAGAACGCACACGCTTGACTCAAAATGCCTTTAGACACTGGGAACGATTTGCGACTCCGTGGGTATTTATAGCCGACTTCTTAGGCCGGGTATGCAAGTGTTTACACCCTACAGACCACGTATATCCTCTGTCGACTTACACATTTACTAGTAGATGTGGTCGAGATACTCGTTTATTCAATCAGACTCTCTCTCTAGACCACGTCTTTTCTCCGCCTGCTGCCCCCTCATGCCCTGCCCTGTCCTGCCCTTCCCCTGTCCCTGCTGTTATCCACCGGTTCGCCTCCACCCGACGCGACTTTTGCTGTGGTGTATAGCAACACAACAAAAACCGAAGACCGGCCGCAAACCACGAGCCATTTTGAATATTCTCTCTCGTCCACTTCGCCAAATGGACATTCAATGCCACCTAGATCAAAGAAAACCCAAGAAAATCGCAACATCCTCACGCACAATTCACCATCAACAGCAAGAAAACGCATTCATCCATCAATTTAACTTAATCATTTGAAGACCCAAATCTAAGATTTAGTCTTACTTGAAATGATTCAGTTTTTATATAATTTATTGTTATTACTATTAACAATTTCACATTGAATGATTTTAAATTAAATTATTAAAATTAATTAAAATTTTCTATTCCAAATTATCACTTTCTTTAAATATGTAATTTATAAAAGTGATAACTTTTAAATTAAAAATAATTATTAAAATTTCACAATTTTTGATATTTGAAAATATTTTCATATAATTTTCTAAAAAAAATTAATGCACAATTCCATGAACCCAATTGAATTGTAAGCGGTAATTATTGCAAATCGAAGTCTCGAATTAATAAGCAATCGTTGAAATTAATCTTGTAATTTCGCTATTGGAAACTAATTGAAGTTCCAATAGACAAGCTTATACCACCAGCGTAAAACAAAACCGGTGAATTAATCCTGCTGTTGTTGTTGAATGCAAAACGTAAAGCGAGATTGAAAAAAATAATGAACTATAATCCTGCAACAATACGGAGAGAAAAAAAGAACGTCTCAAACAGAATCCGAATCATTGGAACGGACGTAGTAAGTAATTCAATTACAAAAACGAATTCGAAAGGTGGCAGCAATCAATCGGATCGGATTTAATTGGAATTCGCATAAATAATTTCACTGAATGATCTCAATGTTCCCATGATCTTTTTTCAATTTTATGATCTTTATTTATTTATTGATCTGTGTGTGTGTGTTATACATTATGTTTTCGATCCACGGCCAACCGTGATGATAAACTCTCGTGATAACGTGCGCGGAGAGAACGTCTTATTGTACTCGTTTTATTTATAAAATAAATATCGCGGCAAACAATGCGAAATTATCAATCGCGACCACACCGCACATCTCTTGCCTCTCTTTCTCTCATCCTCCTCCATCTTAAAGCTCTTAATGCAACAAAAAGGTTGTCGACCCTTCGACCGAGCGTAGAGATAGACGACAGCGTTTACATTCCTAATCTCCTCTCGCTGCCTCTGCTTCCTACTCCACCACCACCACCAGAGAGTTCAGCGCTTATTTTTTTCGCTTCTTCCTCCAGCAGCTCCGCAATCTACACCTACTTCTTATCAAAAAGCCTGTTTGCTGCTGCTGCTGCTGTTCCTGCAGCTACAACAAATAGCTAAGGCTTCCTCCATCAACGCTCTAAAATTACGCAATTGCGCACGTCCATCGTTATTTTGGACTCGGCACATTAGCGAAATTTAACAACATATTCGCAGCATCCAAGGAAACGTTTTTATATCAAATAGAAATAAAAAAAAATGTATGAGAGAAGTAACGTTTGCCAAAAGCGTCACGAGATGAGGAGCACCACCTGCACGCGCCTTCGACTATCAAGATACCAAACGAATAGAAATACATATTAATGCGCGTACGATTTATATTTTTACGACAGAAATCAAGGACGAGCATTATTGTAAATTTAAATCGAGCAAAAACGTTTTTATTTTTCGGTTTCGATTTCGGTTAAAATTGGATTCTCGCAGACTGGAGAGTACCGGAATGCGTGGCATTCCGATGCGATTTTCTGAATCACCTTCGACGATGAAGAGATGTAGATGGGGAGACAGAGATGAAGAGGAGTTGAAATCCTTAGGATTCGTAAATAAATCTGAATTCGTATATAGTGTTTAGATTAAATTAAGTTCGCCTAGAATTCAGTGACAAAAATTAACTTTGGAAAAGGAAAATTGAATCCGGAAAATACTATTCATTCAAATATCGTTAAAATATGAATGAGTATTCTAGAAAGTTATTTGCCCAGGCTTATAGTATTTGCCTGGCAAAAGTTTCCCTTGAATTAACAATTACCCAACAGATATATTTGAAGAATTATGCGTGTGCCGATGGTGGTTTTTCTTTATTTCTGAGAGACCGATCGGAATGTGGAAAATGTGCATTATTTTTATTTATCCTCTTTGGCCGTTGTTGCCGTTCTTTCCTCTCTTTTTTTCTGCGCCGATCCGGAGCTGGGTATAAATATAGCGAGTGCCACGACTATATCTGTCTCTCTCTCTCTATATATATATAAATATCCATCTCTCTTCACCTCTCTGCATATCTCATGTAACTATCTCTCTCTCCCTCGACGAAGATAATTGAGTAACTCTAGCCTGGTGTGTGTGTGCAGTTTTGCGACGAGAAGAGAAAGATGCATGGGTGGCAGCAGCAGGGCACGGATGATGGCGGCGTGCGCTCCGCAAGAAAGCCGTTTCTCTATTTAACATAAAGCCCGAGTTGCATATATACCAGAGGACGATTTCCGTTTCCAATAGCCTTTTTAAAGTTTTGATGATGATGATGTGGTGGTATGTTTGATAGCTTCTGGAGGTGAAGAGAATAACAGCCACCCCGCAGGATAAGCCTCAACATCCTGTTTCTTATTTATTTTTTTATATTGATACACTCAATTTACTCCGGGTTGATTATTACGTCGTCCGATTTATTATAATCGGTTAACTACTTATTTGCTATTTATAGGTTTCCAGCTCGCCGTGGCGGAAAATGCAAGGAGCTGCAGCTATGTGCAACAGAGAGTTCAACATCATCCCCGATAATTAGCTTTAATTAATACCAGATTAATACCAAAGCAGTGTTCTCCTCCACTCCACTCATCAGCTCTTTCCTCAATGTCTTCTCTTCCATCGAACCGTTAAGGCGTTTCGATACACATGCTCTCCTCCGCACAGAGAAACACAATACATTAGTCACACAAATTGGTTACGAGAGTATCGAATTCGCCAACGCAAAAGTGTTGGATATCGAGACATGGCAATAATAACTCGGTGAGAACATTGCGTGCTTCGCACTATTTGTCAACATCCTTCAAGGACTTTTTTTCCACATTGGAACGCAATAGTAGTAAACAGCAAGTTTTTGGCCAAGAAAAAAAATCAAAATGCGAATGAATCATTTCGAAATACAAATTTGAAACTAATAAAACGAGAGAAGGACGAATGTAACCGAAACGAAACAAAAAAAAATGAAGACGGGGTAGATGTTTAACAAAAAAAAAAAAGGATCTCCTCGAAGGATAAAAATATTGCAAGCAACTTGTATAACAGGTTCGTGCTGAGGCCGCATGCAACATATACACATATTCGAGACTCCTCAACATACAAGACGCCTGAATATGTGCAGTTTCATGTAAATAATCCTTCGGCTCATGGAAAGAAGAAATCCCATATCATTAGAAACGTCTCGATTTTCCCGACCACGATACAACACGATTATAGCAACAACAACAACAAAAATAGTCGTAAGGAAGAAATTGGAAAAACATGTGCGAATCCAACTGCGAAATTCGGAAACGCGTTTCCTCATCGCCACGAGCACAGTTTGCGCCAAGAGGGCGTGTATTTTTGGCTACCGAAAATAGAGAGAAGAAAGAAAAAAGTAAGGAAGAGATAGAGAAGACGCAATGAGTAAGGAATAAAAAAAAATGTGTGAGGAATGAATGTTTCGTGATTTACTGCCGACAGTTAAATCACACATGGCTTCGCAACATCATCGGGATATTTCCTCATTCAAAAAGCGCATCTCTTCGCAACAATAATCCTGTAATTGAAGTCAGCCGCTCTAAATATATACATTTTGCAGAAGGCAGCACGCGCGACCAACCGCACTTCTTCGTCGTCCACTCTTCTCCGTTCTCCTCTCGGCGCTTCGTCGCTCATTCAAATTCTAAAAATATTTTCGGTGCGAGAAACACGAATAAGAATGGAAATTAATTGCTGTTTAGCTTAGGTCAGGATGAAGGCGTCCCCGAAAATAGAATGATTTAGGATAGGTTAGTTACCCTTACCACAGACAGAGAGAGACGCTGCGTTTTTTTAATAGATCATTGTGCAATGGAACGACAACGCAAGGACAACAAACACTATTTAATAACAAGTAATCTCTTATGCAAAAAGCGTACATTAATCATTGCGTTAAAAGTTCTTTCTTTGCACTCATAAAATATATAATATAGCAAAATTCAAAAAAAGTTTAATTTTGAAAAAAAATGTTTGTACACACATCATCGAATTTAGAACGTAAACCTTCTTTTTTAATTAAATTCCGTATGTTTGCCTGCTGTGCGGATTATTTGCGTAATTAGGTAAGTTTGCTCGTGTAGCGTAACTCCATTTAATGTACACAATGCATGAAAATTTAATGGATGAATGTTTACTTTTACCTTCTTTACCATATTACAACTTCTTCATCCAATTTTCGTCGTAGTTTGAGGGGGTTAATGAATTATTATTAATTAACTACTAAAGCTTAATTAGGGTATAAGTATACGGTTTAAGTTGGCTCTAACGAGGACGTCCGATGTGGTGGGGTTGGCACGACTTGGGGGAGTGAATATGGGGCATTTCGTAACGATTCGCGCAAAGTTATTGAGATGCAGAAGAAAGTGTGCGTTCTCGTGTACCATCCCCGGAGAACAAATCCCATTAGGGAATACAAACAACACACAGTCACAGCTTTTTCTTCTTCATGCGCAAGGTGAGTCTTTGTAGACGTAAAAGTAGTCAATTAGTTCATCTCAGGTTAATTCCACCCCGTTCGTTACGTAATATTCTAGAGTGCGCGTGCGAACGCCATTTTGTCGAAACATTTGAATAGGACCGAAATTTTACATCAATACTTTACTTTGACTATTATGGAAAAAAAATTTAAAAATTATCTTTTAAAATTAGTTGCATGAAATGAAAATATACAAAATAATATGGATTTTAGAAATTAAATTGTAACCACATGTTATTCACTAAACAATTTATATTATATTGTTCTTTCTTTTGAACCATAAAGAATCACCCATTCAAAGATTGACCTAACGCATGTTGTTTTAACTTTTTTTTTTCTAAGCAAAAAGAAAGAAAAGCACAACTTTAGATTAAGAAAATTTGAATTAAATGATATCATGATACAAATCAACAAATTTTGATGGAAGAAAAATTTGTAAAGAAATAATCTTGGAAATGTTTAGAATTTGTAAGCATTTTATTCCAACTCCGCAAATGGCTGAAACATGCCAATATTCTTTATTTATATACAAGCTTAATACAGTTTTAGCTTTAGAATTGCGTACTGCAAAAATTGCAAAACAGAGTTTGCAGCAGCAACGCACGCAGAAGTAACGAAATCTTTATTTTTGGATGGCTCAAAAAATTAATTGCTTCGAATTTATAAACATTGAAATTTTTATATACGTTTTCGAGACATTAAATTTCCAATAACTTTTGCGCATTCATAAATCTTTAAAATCGCATTAAAACGTCTTCGCTTGTGTACAAAAAAAAAAGAAGTTCCGTTCCGGGACATCAAGTTTCTCGTAATGTGCGCATTTTACACACGATTCAATTTGTACGCCGTTTCGTTGCTGCGAAAATGAGATTTATTGTTGCCATTTTAATTGTACTTTCTGCACACTTTGCTATATAAACACTGCTATTACTCTAATCGCGATCGTGTTAATCCACAACTATGTATTTTATTGCTTCTTGTGAGACAATTTCAGTAATTACTGATGTCTCTCCTCTGCCAGTACTTGAAATAATTACAAGCAAGGATGGATCAGACACAACGCCACGAGATGATTTCATTCTGAAAGTAACGACTTCATGAATTAACGATGATCATAGTTGTGTTAATGATGATTGCAACGAGAAGTTTGATGTCTACATCGGCGTTTCCCAACATATTTGTTTTTAGTTATACCAATTGCATATAAAATAAATTTGATGTAAAGTGACAGCTGTCATTTTGAAACCATTAAAACCCATAGTTTAGAAGATGCTTTAATTTGATGATGATTATCTAAGGTTTTGATGTTCACAACATCTTTAGTTTATTTTATTCAGAGTACTGAAAAATATTTATGATGATTTCGGTAATTTGCGAAGTTCATCGTTACGTTAATGATGATTATGACATTCATACGTTGTTGATGTTTGTTTCATCATCGCAGTTTCCGTTGATTTAATTACATATAATATAAATTTGACGTAAGGTGACAGCTGTCATTTTGAAACCCATAGGTTTAGAACATTTAAGGTGATTTAATTTGATGATGATCATCTAAGGTTTTGATGTTCACAACATCTTTAGTTTATTTTATTCAGAGTACTGAAAAATATTTATGATGATTTCGGTAATTAGCGAAGTTCATCGTTACGTTAATGATGATTATGACATTTAAACGTTGTTGATGTATGTTTCATCATCGCGGTTTCCGTTGATTTAATTGAGTTAACGCCGCGCCGACCCGAAAATAGTCGACTCGACATTATTTATAAACGGTACGAAGGAAATAATAATAATGAGACTACTTTGAGTGAAAGAAACGAAGAGAAAGAAATAAAAAAAAAGGGACAACACAAACAGAATTTAATTTTAAACGGCCCCACACACAACATCATTACATTGCGCCGCGGCTATATTATTTCCGTTGCCAATGTCAAGTGCGAAAATAGCGAGAATGCAGTCTCTCCTCCGCCATCATCCATCCTCTTTCTCCTGCGGTCGGGATTGTCTGCCTGAAAGTCACGCCTTGGCCTAGGCCTAGGCGTAGGTAGGCCTTCTCTTCATCTTCATAATCATCAAACATCAACAACTTGGCCTTTTCTTCTTCAGCTATACACCGACTCTTCCAATATATGTAATTATTCTGTAAGCAGCGGTAACGGCATTTCTTGCTTGCAATTAGCGATTATGAACTCCGGCCAGAATGCGTTTTATTTAAAATATTTATTGCCGTTTAATGGCTAAACTCGCAAGAAACACGTTCCACGAGTCGGCCTCACACACTTTGCAAAACTACGAAACGGCTCAACTGCATAAATGAAGATGAAAAAGAAAAAAGACCCACATTCACTTTGCCGTCGTAGGAATCATCGATTCTTCTCTTCTATTCCCGCAGAAGAGGAGGAAGCTGATTGGCTTCGATTAGTTGGCAAAGATAAGGTTCGGCTGCAAAAATCTAAGACCACATCTCCCTCTCTCCCCCCTTCGACCATCATCAAGCAAGCAGGGATTCTTTTCCAAACGGGCTCCATCTTGTGCCGCTATTTCATCCACAGCCTCCTATCTCTTCCTCCTGCTCCACCTCCACCGTCGTCTCCTCCTGCTGTGCTGCTGCTTTTAGTCCTTCTCTCATTGGCAAACAAAACGCTTTCCTAGCGAATTATAGCTTTCTATTGAAACGGCTAGGCCGGGGCAAAAAATCGGCGCACATATCACGGTGAAATGTAAATGAACTTGCGCGACGCAGCCTCCAGTTTCTCACGAGATAAAACGGGAACGACACAACAAGAAGACGGAAAAGGTAGGTAGAGGTATACACACACATATATATATACAAAACGACGGTGTAAATATTGGCTTTTTCGCCAAACAGAATCGACCTGTGCCAAAGAGGTTTCAACGCTCTCCGCAGCTCCGACATTCTACTATTTGCCTCGCATGTTTACACCGCAATCTGCATATCGTTATGATAGATGCAGCATATAGATGAGCAGAACCGGACAGGGAATTCGCCTCGAGAGTCACAAAAACAACGAACGATGTATGCAAACGCTGCTGCTGTCTGAGCAAATCATCTCTTCCTTTGACTCTAACCAAACGACATCTGTTCCTTTCAATCAACAATTAATAACACATTTATTATTAATTTCCACTTTAATCATTCAAGCGCAACATCACTGATCAAATAAAAAATATATAAAAACTTTAATTCATTCAATTGGTAAATAACTTAAATAGAAAGGATTATCCAATTGAAATAAATTTTACTTAATGAAAATTGTAGCTCGTCCTGTATATAATTAATTTATATATTGCGTAAAGTAAAGAATTCCATTAAATATTTTGTATACTATTACTTCTAATACTTCATAATTTGATTGCTTTCATTTGTTTAATATAAGAAATAATCAAAGTATAGAATTAATTATTGAACTGAAATTCGATTACAATTTTAGTAATTTTCATATTTTTTCTAGATTCATGATTGTTTTATTTCATAGTTATTATTATAGAAACTACTAAAGGTAGAAATAAAACTGTAATTGTTTAATAAAAAAAAATATTGGATACATGGGAATTTGAGACTATAACTGTTCTTAGAAAATGTGAAATTACTGAGATTTAAAGGTGATGATGTTTTAATTACTAATTAGTTGCAAGATGTTGAATTAATACTGTCTTTACTGTAAATGAAGACGCTTTGAATTCGAGTTATGTTAAATGAAATAAATGTTTGTCGTGGTGAGAGAATAATTAGAAAATTCTGCATGTAATTCGGTCTCTAATTGATGCGAGTATAAGCATGAAATTGTTTGGAAGCAAATGGGTTTCTTTGGTTTTGAAGCGATAAAACAATTCGTGGTAAACGAAGCTTTCATTGCATAAATTTATGGATGGTGATAGCCTACTTCTGCATTTGCATTATATGAGTGATGGTAGTGAAATGTTAACTGTAACAATAATTCACATCAAGAGCTTGGATCTAAATTCGTTATTATAATAAATTTGAGTAGATGAAAAATTGCTACCGGTATGAGTTGTGTTTAATTAAGGCTGATGGCAAGATCTGCAAATCAGCCCACGCCCGATTCCTGTTATCTGCATAGAAAGGAGGGCTCTTGATCCAACGTTTTACATGAGGCATATCATTGTTGCATGCGATGCGAGGAGGAGAGTTGAGAGAGGACGAAAGCCTCTGTTCTCCCACGTAAATTTTAATTAGAAACGAAAACCCGTCCGGAGCCACCGTCCTACTCGTCTGGTGAGTTATTTGAAAAACCACCTCGAGTCGATATAACTCCTCTAGTTCAGGACAGTTGAGGTAGGTCGGAGCACCAGACGACGTGCAGCGAGACGATGGGTGTGGACCCGAGGTCTGCAAGAGGAGTACGCCCACAAAAATGCACGAGCCTCGCCAAATACCGGTGCCGCCCTCGCACAGAGACCGGCTGCACCTTCGAGCTTCAAGACACCATTCAAAGATGGAGTCCCATCCCGCCACGAATTCAAACTTGCTGTTGCTGCTGCACATAAAGAGAAAACCGCGGCAAACAAATTGCTGCGAGAGAGATCAAAGGCACCTCCTGCGGCTCTGGTCATCGGCAGAAGGTTGAGGAACACGTCTCAGCAATAATATTTACTATTTCACATTCCTATCTCTGCAACGAACACAAGCAAACAAACAAACAAAGAACAACCAAACACAGTACGTATACAGCAATTGCGGGAATTTGCATAATAAATGCGTCTCGATATGCCACACACAAACAATTTCAGCCGACGCGACATTAAAAACGATTTACATCTATTATTAACTCGCTGTTAACCATCAGTTTCCGCTCACGACGCTAATTCCCTTTTTTTGAATTACAGCAAGACAACAATCATAAAATGTTCCAATAATAAATTTTATCGCAGGCTTAATTTAATGAAGATTAAACTTTGTAACGAAATATATTATGATGCGAGATTGATGGAGATATTAAATTTCAAAGATGATTCGTAATTGGATACTCAGCGCAGATGCGAAAAGGAAAACAACTGATGAAATTCGGAGCGAAATTAAATTTCCGGTCGATACATCTTAGAAGAAAAGCTTTTCTCTAAAGTCAAGGACCTCAAGATTTAATATAATCTTGTTTTTGATATCAAAGAGGAAAATATTAAGAACAAACAATCATTCATTCATTGATAGTGAACATTAATTTAATAATAATCTAAGAAAATCTTTAAAAAAATGAGAAAAAATTAAAAATATCTGAAAAAAACTGTTCAAATTTGATAATTGGAAATGTGATTGATGTAAGTTGACATGTATTTGTAATGAAATCAAATACCAAAAGATATTAAAATGAAACATGAAAAAGTTAAGTTTAGAAATGAAAGAGATTACGTCAATCAATTTTGTTTTTGAAAAATAGAATGAAGAGTGATGGATGTGTTTTTGTAATTGCGTAAAACGGTCGAAAGGGCCTTTGAACTTTATCGATCCTCATGGTTGTTGTTTACGCGACAAAATTTTAATTGCGTTGACCCGGATTATTGTAATCTTCGGACGTCAATTTATACAAAGTGTTTTTTTTCTGTCTGTCTGAAGAAGCGAGTGTGTGTGTAGTGCAGAAGTTCGCATGCATACAACTTTCCGAGGGAGTGTACGAAAGCCTCGGCCACGAACCAACAACATATGGGACGGTTCCATGAGTCACCCATGCAGACTGCAGGAAATGCACCTAGCGATCCTTTGTTTCAGATTAAAACGCGATGACGCATCCAAGGAGAGAAGGAGGAGTGAGCGAATGAGCGAGGAACTAGTCCTCACCCATGACATGGAACCGAAAGAAGAAAAAAATAAGGATACAAATGAATAACCGAAGATTTACATGAATCCACCCATAAAAGGGCGACCTTATAATATAATGGGCAGAGAGAGAGCGCTCACATAAATATGTATTGATGAGGAGCAACTAACAGAGCGAACGAAATAAAAGCAACAGGAAGGATCAGCAGGAATGTAGCGAAGAATGCATGCGCGCCGGAACCTTGAATATTAATACCAACAAACTATATTTAGGCTCAATTTGCACTTATTGTTAATTCCATGCTGCAGCCATTACCGGCTAACGAAACAAAAGTGAAACTGAAAATAAAATTAAAAGAATAACGATGATGATGAGGCCTTGATATGCAAATCGAAGCGCGCTAAGTTTTATCAAAAACCCAACACACACCCACAGCAAATGAATCGGAGCCTGATACCATTTTATTTATTTTTTTGTTGACTTTCTGTTCGTTATTATTTGCAGTTTGTTGGTCGCCCCAACAAGACTGGTTCCACGGGTTTCGCGTTACATAATAATAATAACGAAAACGCCCTGAAAGAAGTGGAAAGCCGCGCGTCGAACCTCCGGGGGCTTTCAGGAAGAAAAGCTCCTATTGCCCTACTCCGGCGCTAAATATACACACTTGGGTTAAGAACGCGGCAACGGAGGAGAGGTCCCAGTCTTTTGCGAGTTATACAACCAACTCACCTTTCGACCGTCTCCTATTTTCATCCGCACAAACCCAATTATACCTTCTTAAGAGCAAGTCATCCTTTTTTTTTATTGCATCTGTTAAAACCATCTTCCATTTTCAATCGCCAAATCCAAATACACTTTTGAACATTAGTAAAAAGAATTTATTTAGATATATTTACTGAGCCAAAAATCTATCGACTAAAAAAATGTGTTTTTTTGTGCAAAGTTGCATAATTATTGCTGCAAATATTATCAGTTTATTTTTTAAATAAACCTACTTGATAATAATATCCCTACATTGATAACAAAATATCTGCGTCGTTAAGTTTTTTTGCTTACATTTCGTAAGAAAAATGTGTCTGAATTGTGCAACTCGCATAATTATAAAACAAACAAATATAATCATTAAAAAAAAAAGTCGTAATCAAGAGGGAAAGCAAAAAGCCGGAAGCGGTTTCGTCGCCAAAAAAAAAATCCCCATGAATAATGTCCCAAAATAACAGTATGCAAATTGAAACCTTTATTCGAAGAACCCCTCGACTTCTACATAAAAAAAAGGGCCGAGCGTAATTTGTAAAACCCTTGCGCATTTGTAACACGTAGGGAAGGGCGGCAAACACGAGAGTGTTCCTAATTTATAAATGACCCTACGTATATTTATTTTATGCGCCGCCTTCGTAACAAAAAAAAAACAATTCCGCGCGTTGGGTCAAAGGATCAAGAGCGTAACTTTTTTCTTTTATCACCGTCCTGGAAAAATCCCGTATATTTCATAGAGGGCGTAATAAATTCTCAAGGATCGCATTTTATTCGCACATATCGTAAAATAAAATAAATAAAAAAAATACTCGAGGAGAGAAATATCATAAAAATAAAAGTGGAGTAAGAGAGAGAGAGAGATGGAACGGCCTCCATCCCTCAGTGTCATAATTCCGGCTCTCCCCTAATACGTTTCAACCCTCTGAGCAAATATAAAACTCGCAACTAGGACAAATACGCGAGTTTCGCATGGAAACGGAGAGGAAATAATTGATGCCCTACCCTGCTCATCCAATAGAGTGATATACATTTTTAACGTAGTTTTTTTTATTATTATTGTAGCTAAAACTTTCGAACAGATAAAACATGTTTTAAGGGCGGAAATTTTGTATAACCAAAGTTTTAAAAGTTTAATAATCTTTATTTATGTACCTTGTTTCCAAAGTACATTTAGAATGTTATTTTTTTTAAATTGAAGATTAATTAATAGAAATTTCATAATTTCTTTTAAGTTGTCTACAAACTTTTCAAAAGCTATAATATTTATAAAAAAAAAATTTACTTGTCAAAAATCTATCAGTATTTGCTTCATGATTTATTCAAAGACAGTAATCATTAGTATTTTAAACACTGATTGAGTATTGACTTAATCGGTGTTTTTTTTTTATAAACTTAAATTTGTTGAATACTAAATTAGACGGAATAAATTGGTTCAAATCGAATATTAATGAATTATATACGATTACCATTAAACGTTGGATAAAGATAGAATCAAAGTGCGTTTGAATATCAATTATTTCTATTTCATTTGAATGAAACGCAGGAAACGCGACGATACAAAAGAAATTTGTAATTCAGAAAATACTCGGCTCGTCCTTTAAAAGGCGCGAGAGAGTGAATGAACGAACGAACGAACGACGCGTGATAATCCTGAAGTGTGTTGCGTTAGAAAATTTACACGTCCTCTCCACATACATTTTTTTTTATGTTTTAATTCAAGTCGACACGTTTCTCTGCTCCCCCTGAGATTGAGCACTATAAAGCCCTTCCACGGTCGAGGGGTGAATTAAAAGCCGGGAGTATTCAAACATTTTTCCCACAGGACACCTCTATCTACTCTTCTCATTTTCCATCTTCTCTATATTTTCTATTTGCATCAGAATATCAAGCAAAATCCGTTCGCAATTAATAAACGTAATCTCGTTCGGTTTCATCCTCTCCCTCCGGTGCGTTTGTTTAATTGCAAAACAAAAGGGATGATGGACGAGGGGCGGTTTTTAGGGTTGGCGGCGGCGGTGGCTTCAGCCCTAGCACGCCGCCTGGATCGATAGGAGACGCAAACGGCGGTGACCATAGCAACCGCATCCAGAAAACCGAAACCCACGACCACCCAACGCATCACCCCTGAACGAGTGGATCTAATTAAGCGATCATTGCTTTATATAAATATTTTAATTTCCGATGTATTATTTTTTTTTGCTTCTTCCTATTTATTACAAGAGAAGCCGCACGTTTTTTAACTGTGAAATGGGAAAACAAAATCGAACGGCTCAAAACAGGAAATTGCATTTGGATCACGTTCGGAGGCGCACAGGAAGTGTCGCCATATTGTGTATGGAACGGTTAGCGCCTCGTGAACCGGCATCAAAAATGGACAAATACCATGGGGCATGCTATGGCTATGGTTAGAAAACGCATTTCGAAATATGCCGCACGATTTCGTAAACTAGCCAGGAAGTCGAACGGTACAGGAAATTGAATTCCAAGCTCCAAGTCGAAAAAAAAAAATGTAATAGTCGTCGTGGTCATTGTGCACCACCTGGCTTCTGGAAACCAGAAATATAGTTTGTTAAGCCTAATGTGAAATGTGTGTTTGCCAAGTCAACGCCTTAATAAAATAAAAGATCGTTTGATAACAGTTTTTGACAAGCTATAGAAGGGTGCATATAAATTCTATGCACGACGACATCTGTGTGTGTCGAGTAAATGGATTTTTTTCCCCCTTGTGCATTTTTGGATGTGGGGTTTCAATTGAAATTGATTGCACTCGATTTACACGAGAACTTTCCGTATTATTTTTATATATTAAATATAAATATTGTATGATGAAAATAGGAGTTGGAAACAGAAAGCGGTTTCTGAGGGAGACCTTTTTACACGCACCGTTGCGTGTCCAGGTGGTAATTATTATTTTTATTTTCAGTTGTAGTTTCCACAATTACTCTCATCACGTTCCATAAACGAAAAAAAAAAAAACGATATGGTTTCGTGAGAGAGCAGCAGCTAAAAAAAGGTTTTGAGAAGACATATAAACTCACCTCTTCCTCCTCCTTCACATCACCGTTCTTATCAATGTCCTTGCTGGGCTTTGACTTTTTGGAGAACGAGATTGTCCGAAAAGACCACTTCTTTTTCTTCTCTTTCTTTTTCTTCTCCTTGTCCGGTGTCTCGTCGGCCTTCTCGTCGGAGCTCTTCTCGTCCGTGCTCTTCTCCGTGCTCACCTCTGTGGTGGTTGCTGTCTCGTTCAGCTGATCTCCGCCCTCCGCCTCCACAGGCGTCTTAGCCTCTGTGGATTCTGCTGCTGCTGCGGCGGCCGCCTCGGGCACACCGTTGGCCTTTATCACATCGCCATCTTCCTTCTTCTCGCCTTCCTCTTTGTCCTAAAAAACAAGGTGAAACGGTTGGATTAGCGCAATACAAATAAAACGATGGATGATGATGATGATGATGCAGTAGAAACGAGTTTGTCGTGGACTGCTCTCGACCGAAAGGAATAAAAAAAAAAATTTAATAAACTCGTAATGCTAGTGCGTGGAAGGACTAGTCGAAGACCTTCCTCGGTGGGATGAATTATGAAAAAGGTTGAAGAGAGCATGTGTAATTTTAGGAATCGTGTAATTAATAGACGGTGCGAATGGTCGAGGGTATAGAAAAAAAAAGAAGGAGAGCAGCGGTAGTAACTGGTCATCATTATACGGGTGAGAGCATGGATGAGGCATGACAGAGAACTAATCGTACCTCAATTGACGAACCAATACGTACACACAAACAACATTTAAATGAAGAACACGAAATAAAAAGGAAGGATAAAACCTTTGGTTGGAGAGGAGAGAGCAGAGGATACAGGCACCAGCGGCCTTGGTCACGGCCAGTAACCTAGGCCTAACCCTGTCACAATGGACCCCTATTAATACGGTGTTTGTGTGATCAGTGGTGTGAGAAGAAAAACCTCCACATCATCAACGCCGTTTTACATGGCAACAAAATGGAACTGTAAATATATACACAATAAACCTTCTTTTACGACCCAATAACTGCTATCATCAGGAATCAATTAATTAAACCAAAAAGAGAAAAGAATTGATTGTGGAGACGTGCTGGTAGTAGCAAGCGTTTCTCTAATTGCTTAACTTATCATTGAGGAGACGCACCAGAGGGTTGTTAAAAAAAAATTGGTAGTAGTGCAGAAGGAGAGGACAGAATAAGAGAGGAAGAAGAAAAAAAACTAGTCTCGCACCATCTGCCGCGCCTTAATTAACTCAAATTTGGGAAACGGGTTTTTCCACAGCTTCCACCCAATTATCGCAATTAAAGCAAGCTGACGATGGGCGAGAAGAAAAATGCCAGCGCTGTTAATGGACTCGAAAACGATAGGTTCACAAAAAAAAAACATCGAGAGGTTTTGGTAAACGAAAAAATCCTTATGTAAACACAGTTTTTTTCCCCTTTTCAATGGTTTGATTTCTTTAAAACGGACAATCTTCTATTCAGAAAGATATTTCCTTGATTAAACAACAAAGTTTACTTAAACACATTTTTTCTTTTGAGAATACAAGGAAATTTGAAAATAGAAAACTTCACTAACTTAAAATGCAGTGAATTGTTTTCAAGTGATTCTTAGAAACGAACAAACATACCTCTATTAGGAATTGTATTTTCTTGATTAAATAAAGAAACGGACGTTTCAAGTATGCACAAGTTGACAAAGTTTACTTAAAGAAAATATTTATGACAAAAAAGACAAGATAATTAACAAAAACATAATTATATAAATGTTTTTCTAAATATGAAAATTGTCTGCAATTATATAGAAAAATGATAATTGTAATTATCTACACAATAATTGGAGTTTTACAAATTGCAATTAGAATTAACAAATTATTAAATTAGTGATAAGATTAAAAAAGATACATAACTTTAATATTAATTGTTTCTGCAAAATGTAAATGTGAGAAATAATTGATATATTGGTTGGTAAATAAATAAATAAATATAGACCGAAACCGAAAGACGATGTTCTTGTTTATATGCAATTGTAAATGATTAAGTTAATTACACGTTCCTCATTGCAGCTAATTGATCATCGAAACATCGTTCGGAGAAATAGTTAATGGAATCCAATAAGACCGAAGTGTATATTCATGGGAAACTACTACTAAACGACCAATTATAAATGAAGATTCGGTTGGACTTTTCTTTTGTACGGTTTCGAACTTTTTGTTTTTTTCTCTTGCAGAAATTATAACAGGCCTAAGAAGAATCCAGTTTTCGCATAAACGAGAGAGGCAAAATGACTATCTTTAAAACGTGCACAGCTGTTGATGTTTTATATACCCGGAGAGTGCACAAGGTCGGAGCGAGACCAAACGAAATATTTCATATCTATCCACAAAGAGAAAACAGGCTGTCAAATGTACAGAAGAATGAGACGCCGTCTTTTGGGAAATGAATTTTTCTTGTTATGATTCTTTTTTTTAGAATAATGTGAAATTAGTCTTCGATTGAGTTTCATTTCCTTGTGATGGATTTGGTAATTCTCGTTTGGCAAACGACAAAGGAAGTGGATTCTTTGCATATGGCCCGTGTATAATTAGAGAGGATGCGGGATGGATGATTTTTAGGTAGAAAAAGAGATGATGATGAGGAGGAGAAGAAGTTTTGCTCACCGCGAATTCTATTTCGGTGTGAGGTGCGGTTCCGTTCGTCGTGACCTTGGCGTCCAGATCGCCGATCTTCTCCACTTTTCCTTCACCCTCGACGGGACTCTCGGCCTCTCCTTTCTTCGGCGATGTGGTGATGTCGACTGACCTCCTGGACTGTTTCGCACCCATTGTCTCTAATTTATATTTGTCTTATTTACTGATTAATCCTTAATATCTGCAATGAAAACAAAAGAAACATTAATAAAACAATAACCAAAACGCATTCACCTAACTTAGAAACAAAAGCAAACAATTGAAATACGTCCTGCATTGAAAAAGCACCGAAAACTAAAGCGATTTGTCGGGGGGACAGACGTTTCCCGACACTCCCTGACATTTGACGCTACTGAAAATGTCAGACGATCCCAATGTTTGCAAAATAAAAAGATACCTTCATTATTTACGTAACTCTTTTTTTATTATTATTATTACACTTTATTCCTGTTACAGCGCATATCGCTCATATCAATTTTACAAATTGAAGTTTCCTCTTTCATCCATTACTCATACTATTATTTCATAAAAAAATACAAAACCCGTGATAAGATAATAATATTTCAAACAAAAAGGTACTGGAAATTCGCATTACTCAACCGCGCTTACGAAACTTTCCAAAGCTATCTTATTATCTTTTTTTTTTCCTCGCCGCAACGATTCGGTTTACATAATAAATAAAATATGTAGAAGCTTCTACAGTTTAGTTTACTTTGAAATGAGTGTGTGTGTGTTTTTTTAAAGAGCGATTTATTTGTTTACTGCAACACTTAAGGCAATAAACAAAATTGTTAAGATATTGAATCATAAAATTTTCATTATTATGTCGGGCGCCGACTTCTCATTACTCATCAACGCAGCACAACATAAATTAATCATCGCGTTAAGCGGAAATATCAACAATGAAATTCACCACAATTCGCAACTTAATATTAGCAAAAGTTATGCAATTGTTGATTATTTCTATTATTATAACAAAAATAATGCATAATAAATACATATAAAATACATTAGAAATTATTTCTTATATAACAATTAGCAATAACTTTCCACTAATAAATTTATTACAACGTAAAAGCACTCGTTTTAATTACTTCGAAAGAAAGTGAACTTAAATTCACTTAATTGATTTTTGTTTTCAAATTAGAAGAAATAAAATCTAATTCAATAATTATTATAATTTTATCTTTAAAAAAATATAAAATTTCTTAATTTGTTGAATGATAGAAACGATGCAGTTTCGATTTAATGAATCTTAATGGTCAAAACTTGGAAAAAAACTTGATTTTTCGGAGCAGGTGGGCTTATACAAAATGTGTTCCATTTTGGCTTTAAATTTATTAAAACGCATTTTGTATTTCAATGCAGAAGACTCGCAGCAAAAGAAGTAGAAAAAACGCTAAATTATTAACGCATCCGGTAATTTAGTGCAACTAAAAACGGAAACAAGTTATTTCTTTCTGCATAATATACAAATAAAATACACATATTATAATTTACGAAACTTTTGCAAATTTGTAAAACATCATTTTTTCTGTACAATAATTAAATAATTTACAAATTAAATTTAAAAAAATATTGGAAACTTTTCGCTTCATTTTTCTGTTAAACAAACAACGATTTCATTAATGCATTCCTTTTACAGAAGCAAATTGTTAAATAAAAAAAAAGTGAAACAATAACGTCGACAATGAATAAAACATTATTGATGACTGGAAAATATTTACACAAATAGCTTTTATATTAATAAATACAAAGGATATTCAGTTTGAAATTATTAAATTAAAATAATTTTATATTTGTTAAGGATTAAATTGTAATTTGAATAGTTCAAATTGTTTAATAATTAGCAATTAAAAGTTCTATTGAAAGTATTCACACAATGGCTAATAATAATAACAATACAATGCGATTAATTGTAGGACAAAAGATCTATAAATGTGAGAAATATTACCCATATAATGAATGCGCTGTTGTCTTAATTGATCTAAGTCTTAACATTCCTTCTTTTCATATACACACTAACAAATAGAACAAAGCAACCCTTGTATTATGAAATTGTGTCCAATTTGGTTTTGTTTAAAAAACTAAAAGCTGTTTATTTAATAACGATACTGGAGGATTCAAAAAGTTTTTTTTCATAAGATGTTTATACATAAATGTCCAAACAGAAGGAATGCAATAAATCGTTGATGAATAGGCCATAGTTGTAAAAAATTTGAAGGACTTTTCTGGCGTAGAAATCAACAATATATTTATTGAAAATAATAAAAAATATGATGATTCTTCAGAATGTGAAGAAGAAAAAGGTAAGAATAGATATTTATAAGTGTTTACGAATCTAGTGTGTGAATAACAAGAAAAAAAAAAGTGTTAACTGGAATAACAAAAGCAAAATATATGCAGTACATTTTATGATGATGGTGGTAATGAATCTATCAATGTTAAAAAGAAGTTATTTGTGTTTTTCTAAGGAAACTTGTGTTGTTTTAAATTGGATAAATAGTTATAATTGTTTAAAGAAAATTATTGATAATTAAAAAAAATAAAAATGTATCTCCTTCTGTACTTTTTATCCTTTTCCAAGTCTGCAATTTCAAAAAAAATATGTATGCAGAATTGCTGGTTGTGTTTATGCGCGCAACGGCCATGAACCAATTTCCCATGCATCATTTAAATGCCCATTTCGCAAATGCGAAAACTGAACGGAAAGAGTTCGAAGCACGAAGAATGGGATGTAATCAAGGCGTCTTCGATCAAAATTCTGTTACGCAATTATTCAACATTAGATAAAGGAAAATATAAATTAAAAAAAAAAATAATCGAATAACTGTTGGTAATTTCGATGATGAGGAACGAGTAAAAAATATATATATAGATATATACGAAGAGATTTATCATGTTGTAACGGACAAAGGATGATTATGAAAATTGTTCTCTTCAAATTCGAGCGTGAAGGCACGAATGTGGAGCGAAAGGTTTATATAAAAAAAAAGTTACCTATTATTACGTTATAATCCAAAAAAAAAACTAATTTAATCCTGGCTTAGGATTTGGTAACACTGTTTTTTTTAATATCACTTTGTAAGAGCCTGAGGAACAATCGCACTCTTGCAGAACACAGGGGGAGGGGAAAATGAAGAGAAGCTCACACAACGAAAACAAGTGTACTTTATACTACATGTATATAAAAATGTGTGCTGCTGCTGTTCCTCAACGCCAGACACTAGTAACCGCTGGAAAAGAGCTATGGGACTGGAAAGAATCACAGTTTACTACAAAACACAAAGCCGTAGTGTGTGTGTTGAGGATGGAGCACAAATTTGGTTTGGAGAGAGGGAAGGAACTGTGTCACTGCACACACACACCAAATGCTTTTTGAATAGTCAGTCGGTTATTATTATTCCAAAAGGAATCACAAAAGGACAGACGATAATGGTTTTTCTTTTTTTTTTTTATTTGGTAGGAGGGAGAGACTAAGAATGTAATGTGGACAAAGGAAGAAGGAAACAAGTCAACGTAATTCTCTGCCCCCTTCCTAACTAAAAATTGTAAACCCTAATCGGAGTCTAGCTAATCCAAGAACCGATAATCAAAGAGAATATTTAAAATAACCATCTCCAATTTGATACTCGCTTCTTGGTAAATATATCATGTGTTGTCGCGCTTGTTTATATCTATTTCGTTGATAAAGCGTTCTCGAAATGCGTGCTAAAAATATACCAGTTTTAGTATCAGCACAAATTTCTACGGATACAAAATGATTCACAATTCAACCATATTCCACCCACGCACTCGATACGAGCATCCTCATTATAAACATTTTGTTATTGAACAATTTCATATAAAACTTAATTACTTCTGTTTATTACACAGACAAAATCTCCTTTACAGCCTCCGTTTTTTCACAAGTTTTCTTAAGAATTTCAATAGTTAACATAAACTTTATATCAGCGTTTCTCAAACTTTTTCTTGAGTAATCCAACTATTATTTTTAACTTGCTTTGACACATGGTGACAGCTGTCACAGAGCGACTCAACTGTTTATAACTTATAATTTAACTTGCTTTGACACATGGTGACAACTGTCCCAGTGTGACCCAACAGTTTATAACTTAAAATTTAACTTGCTTTGACACATGGTGACAACTGTCACAGTGGGACCCAACAGTTTATAACTTAAAATTTAACTTGCTTTGACACATGGTGACAACTGTCACAGTGCGACCCAACTGTTTATAATTTAAAATGTAACTTGCTTTGACACATGGTAACAACTGTCCCAGTATGACCCAACGGTTTATAACTTAAAATTTAACTTGCTTTGACACATAGTAACAACTGTCACCGTGCGACCCAACTTTTTATAACTTAAAATTTAACTTTCTTTGACAACTGTCATTAATAAATTTAACTCATTCCAAATGTTGCGTAACGCTGGTTTAAATAATAAATGCTGGAACAATAATTGAAAAAATTATCGTTATTATTTTTAGAGTATCTCTATTTTTATATGTTTGCTAAAGAGATTGCTTTGGATGGAGAGCAGTTAAGTGTATTTATTCGCACAATTCCGTCCAATTACATGCGATACGTCGGATAGTCTGTTGTTTGCAGAGCGAATATTTGCACGATAACAAAATTGTATATATATAAATGTATAGGAAAGATAACGAAGATCCAATATTTGCATGCGAAAAAAAAAAGTTGCACGAAGAGTAAGAAGAAAAAAAAACGCGCGTTTATTTTCAGTTAGACCCGGAGATTTGTTACCGATATTTCGAGCTATTTGATTATGCAAATATTAGCTTTATGTAATTTATTCTCACGATTTTTATTTAGAGATTCAAAAAAAACTGTATTTCTTATCCAAATTTGACAATCTTTGAGTTGTTTACAATATTATTTAAAAATTTCCTTAAAGAAACGTCTTTATATCACTTTTTTTTTTAATTTTCTTGTAACTTTTATAAAATTATTTGAATTTTCTTTAAAATAAAAGCTATGTATTTTATATAATTTATTTGGCTTGAAAATGTTGTAACTAATACAAATTTGCTAATACTCGTAGCTTATTTACATTACAATTTGCAAGGTTTCTTTAAAAGCAAAATTTCGTCGTAAAAAATGTCTTGTTTTCATTTTTCTTGCTACCTGCTAATATTTTTGTGTTAAGGAATT